GTGTGTGTGTGTGTGTGTGTGTGTGTGTGTGTGTGTTATTTTAAGGAGGCTCGGAAAATGCAATATCTAATTCAGGAGGCTGGCAGCCTGAACGTTCAGGAAAGAGTTAACAGTTCAAGCGAAAAGACAACCCGCTGGAGAAATCAAGAAGAGTGAATATTGCAGATGAATCCTAAAGTCTGTGTGTTCAGGAGAGGTTAGTCTTTTTTTCTCTTCAGGCTTTCAACTGTTTGGATGAGACTACTCACATTATAGAGGGCAGTCTGCTTTACTCCATCCATCAGTTTTTTTAGTTACATTTTTTTTGTGGGGGGAGCAGCTGGTTGGCTCAACTCAGTGGAGTATGGGACAGTTGATCGTGGGGTTGTGAGTTTGAGCCCCATGATGGGTGTCGAGACTACTTAAGAAAAAAAACGTAAAAAAAATTGTTTCTGGAAACATCACTGTTTTATGTTAAACCAGATATTAGATGAACATATTCAAAAATAAACAAACAAAAAACATTATGTGTTCTAGCTATTTAAATTTTATTGTCTTTTAGTGTCATTAAAAAAATTTTGAGGGGCGCCTGGGTGGCGCAGTCGGTTGAGCGTCCGACTTCAGCCAGGTCACGATCTCGCGGTCCGTGAGTTCGAGCCCCGCGTCGGGCTCTGGGCTGATGGCTCAGAGCCTGGAGCCTGTTTCCGATTCTGTGTCTCCCTCTCTCTCTGCCCCTCCCCCATTCATGCTCTGTCTCTCTCTGTCCCAAAAATAAATAAACGTTGAAAAAAAAAAAAATTTAAAAAAAAAAAAAAATTTTGAGTATAGTTGACACACAATGGTACATTAACATTGTGTACAACATAGTGACTCAATGTCTCTATATGATATGCAATGTTCACCACAAGTGTACCTACCATCTGTCACCATACAACACTGTTACAATGTCATTGACTATATTCCCTTTGCTGTGCCTTTTATTTCCGTAATTTATTCATTCCATAACTGGAAGCCTGTATCTCCTACTCCTTTTCCTCCATTTCTCCCATCCACCCACCACCCTTCCCTCTGGCAAACATCAGTTTGCTCTCTGTATTCATAGGTCTGATTCTGTTCTTCATTTGTTTGTTTATTCACTTGTTTTGTTTTTTAGATTCCACATATGAATGAAATCATATAGTATTTGTCTTTCTCAGAATGACTTATTTCACTTAGGATAATACCCTCCAAGTCCATCTATGCTGGAGTTATAGAAGTTCTTTATATATTTTTGGATATTAACTCCTTTTTGGATCTATCATTTGCAAATCTCTTATCCCATTCAGTAGGTTGCCTTTATGTCTTGTTGATCATTTCCTTCACTGTGCAAAAGCTTTTTATTTTGATATCATCCCAATAGCTTATTTTTGCTTTTGCTCTTTAGGAATCATATCTAGAAAAATGTTGCTGTTGCCAGTGTCAAAGACATTATTGCCTATATTCTCTTCTAGGGGTTTTATGGTTTTAGGTCTCACTTTTAGGTCTTTAATCCATTTTAAGGTGTGTGTGTGTGTGTGTGTGTGTGTGTGTGTGTGTGTGTGTGTGTTAGAAAGTGGTCCAGTTTCATTCTTTTCATGTAGCTCTCTGGTTTCTCAACACCATTTATTCAAGAGACTCTTTTTTATTTGCTGTATATTCCTGCCTCCTTTGTCATAGATTACCTGTTGATCTACCAATTTAAATGTTAAGTTTCATCCCAAAACACCCTTCCAGAAACATCCAAAATAATGTTTGACCAAATATCTGGCACTATGGCTCAATCAACTTGACATAAAATTAATCACCACAGAAGGCATCTGCATTCACCGAGTAATCAAGAGGTTTTTTTTTTTTTT